AACGCTACCGGCCTCTTAAAGAACGGCCCGCCCCCCCCCCACTGACACTTTACCTCTGCCACATCATAGAGTCTAGATATGCATTACATTAATGCGCACAATGTTCATACTCCTTACTGCACATATTCTTATCTCACATTTCATAGTTTATTCTAAAATTAATTCATAGCATTCTATTTCCATGTAAATTACTGCTTTATTGCTATTTAACTATATTTTATTACGGTGTAAAAGATTTCTTGTTTTATATTAGATTTCTTGTTTTTTATATTTTATGTATGTTCCATGACCTCAAGTCAAATTCCTAGTATGTGTGAACCTACCTGGCAATAAACCTGTTTCTGATTCTGAATCTGTGGCCCATTCCTAAACCGCCCCCTACACCCTACCCCTCCGTTTGCGCGTTCACGCGGAGGGTCCGCCATATTGAGGGCTGTTCCAAAGCGACGAGTGTGGAGCGGTGTGGAGGGGGAGTGGGCTATCAAGCCCTCAAACAGCGAGTCTGCATCGGTGCTGACTTGAGACCGGTCTCTACCTGACCGGAGTCACGCTGTGTGTGTCCGTCATGAAACACGCTGTTTACAAGTAGTTCCAGCAAACATCCACTGATAAACTGCGATGTTAAAAACCTCATGATAACCTCATATGTTTTTAACTTAGGATCATAACTGTAATTTAGTCTAGAAAAAGTGCATTTTATTATAAAGTTGTGTATATTTACAGACCGTTGCAAAAACTAAGAAGCTTGTAAACATCAGGTTTAAAACTAAAAGAGCTTTGAAACACAATGAAAGATGTTAGGAGTTTTATTTGAGTTATTCATTTAAACTTTTTGTCTAAGAGATGCTGATTTGAAACCGTTGTTACATACAGTTACCGCATTTCCTGTTTCTGCCGGAGAGAGGGGAGGCCGTCCTTCACGTCCCAAAGCTTGCCGCTGTATTTACTCCCTCCATCTGTGACAGGAGGGAGCCTCGTTGAGCTGCGAGTGTGGCTACAGACGGAGTTCACTCCGTCACGGAGGGGTAGGGTCGAGGGAGTGGTTTGGGATTGGGCCTGTGTGTTCCCTCCAGAGGAAATTTTATCCCCCCACACCTCCATTGGACTCCTTTGTTACTTCCAGATCAAAGTGACATCACTATATAACACTCACGCTTCTATTGTCTAGCGCTACAACACATTGTACGTGATGGGCTAAGGGGCGGGACATCTCTAAGCGGTTGACCAATCACAACAAAGCCGGCCAGCTAACCAATCAGCAGACTGGGCTCTGGTTTCAGACGGAGGGTGAAAAGAGGTGCTGCAGCACAGGCAGTTTGAGAAAAATAAAGAGCTTTTTGAACATTAAAGCATGGAGACATGTCACAGGAGAGACACTACACATACTGATACGAACCTGAAAATGAGCAGAAGGGTCCCTTAGAATGAATCAACATCTTTTTGAAGTATATATGAGGAAACATAAAATAAAAATAGTCTAGAATCTAGCTAGTTACAAGAGCGTACTTATTTTGCAGGATATATTTACTTTAGCTACATACTGTACTGTATATTCAACATGCTTTATCCAGAGCCACCTATTCATCTCAGGAAACAATGTCAGTTTTCTCTCACTGACAGTCATAGCACCAGCACATTGCTATCATCGGTTCTCTAATTATGTTCCCCAAAGGAGTCGTGTTAGCATCATCTCATCCACTCTGTGATATTGCACTATGCACAAGAGCACAAATAACTTTCCTTACAGCCTCCAAGTGTTCCTGTGTCTCCACAAAGGCTCTGTTGCTAACACAAACATAAACCCAGTTGTACTGAAGAACACAGGAGCTCCAGCTTCTGATCCTAGGGTTTCTTTTGGTGCAGGTATACGGCAGTGGAAAATATAATGCCTTTCAAAAGCTAGAGGCTGATGAGAGATGCGTGGAGCTGAAATGACATAAAGGGAGCAGTCAGACACATAAACACAAAGAGAGCTCGGCAGGCAGAGAGCTTTTCTACGATGCTGCTCAATAAACGGAGGAGGCAGATCAAGGCGGCTGCTGCTATCTTGATGAACTTGCTCTGTAGCGAGCTGGTAGGAACAATAACGCTGTATCTCTGGACTCAGAACACTGAGCGAGAGGGAAAGATCAGGATGCGATAGTTTTTAATAATTCATGTTTTTGTTCCGCAGCCTCTCATTTCCTTTATAGTTCTCTTCTATTTTGTTTCGCGGTGACTGGCTGCGGCCTGAAGGAAAGGTTGAAACATTTATAAACCCATAAAAAGCTTCACACATTTACAACAAGCCTTCTCCCGATGTTTGGAATGAATACAAGAGCCGTAAGCAGTTGTAAAAACAAAACAGTTTCACACACCGCCATTATTAAGTATTTACTGCACTTACAGTTTTCCAATCCTTATTCATACAAAAATAAACACATTATACTTCTTAAAGGGGCCCTATTATGCTCATTTTCAGGTTCATATTTGTATTATGTTCCTCTACTGTTCAATAAGTGCTTTCTTATTTATATGAAAACTCTACATTATAGCGTTATTATCACGTGACCTCTTGACTTGAATCAATGTGGAACTGGAATTGCAACACTGCAAGGAGGACACAACTTTTTTAAATAGGATCTTGGTGCTTTTGCTATTTCTAATGAATAATTAAATGAAAATTCAGGTTTTTTCTAGATTGAAAAGTTTTTATAATTGTATGTGTTTCAATGCCTCTCAATCATTGTTCAACTCATCCACACACAGCCATGTCACTTTCTTAAAAGCATAGATAAGTAGATTTACAAATCTAAAGGCCCTGACACACCAGGCCGTGACACGCCTTATTTGGCCTTTCATGGCCGACGCACGGCTGATTCAACATGTTAAGGCCCAGATACACCGGCCCGAAATCGACAGTAAATGGGAGTCAGGCCGAACATGAGCGTGGGCACGCCCTGTTCGGAGTGGTGTGCGCCGCACCGTCGGGTCTTTTCTGCCGACCTGACGCCTTTTCTTGCCGATTCAGAACACCACCGGAAGTCGGACAAAGGGATAACACTGATTGGCTGTTCAGCTAGCGAATCAGTGCATGAGAAGCGTTAACGGAAGTGAGGGAGGGACCGTTGCTTGTTTAACACAAGCGTGAGTGCAAGGGCTGCTAGCTCCAGTACCTCCCGTTCGTCCTGCTCGTTCATGTTTTCAATGGACGAGAGTGAAAATAGAAAAAAAAACGCTATTTGTTGTTTGTTTATATCACGGAGTCTGTTCTTCTTCTCTGTCTTCCGGTTGTTCCGGTTGTTGCCTCTTTTGAATGATGAATACACACTACCGCCGCCTGCTGGTAAGGAGAGTTATTGCCACTCACGCATGCGCAGTTCATACGTGCTCGGCTCGTATTTGCGGTGTGTTCCAGTGCGCGAAGTTGGCAAATACGCAGGAGAGTCCGGCGACGCAACAGTCGGTGTCGGCGTCGGCGACTTCTCAGGTGACTGGCCGGTGTATCTGGGCCTTTAAATCGGCCGTGCGTCGTCCACAGGCAGTCGGACAAAGAAATCACTCTGATTGGCTGTTCAGCTAGCAAATCAGTGCATGAGAAGCGAAACGGTTGCTTGAGAATGTCTTCCACAAGCAACACTTCAATGGCTGATAGCTCCAGTACCGCACGAAACATGTTTTCGATGGACGAGAGTGAAAATGGAACGCACACGCCATTTGTTGTTTGTTTATATCACGCAGTCTGTTCTTCTTCTCTGTCTTCCGGTTGTTGCCTCTTTTGAATGACGAATACACACTACCGCCGCCTGCTGGTAAGGAGAGTTATTGCCACTCACGCATGCGCAGTTCGTACGTGCTCGGCTGAAGTCTTTGCGGTGTGTTCAAGTGCGACACATGGCCAAGGAGAACGCCGACGCCGAGTTCTCTGGTGACTGCCTGGTGTGTCAGGGCCTTAAGGCAACAAATTAAGCATTAAATCAAACATGACATGATTCGCTATACAATTATTTACAGTTATCCTTGTGTTTATCTATCATATGAGGATATTTCTGTCTATAATCTGGCTTTAGTCTGCGGAGCATCACAGCTCAGGTGAGTCCTGAGAAACTCCTGGATCTTTCTCCACAGGTGGACTTCAGCTGCTGCGTGGGACGCTGCTTCCCCCCCCCACAGGACCGGCTTGCCTACAACCCCATGGAAACTGGAGGGGCAGTAGGGCCCGTACGGAGGCTCCAGGTAATGTCCCGCTCCGGGGTAACACACACTCTCATAGTTGTCCTTCCCGTGTCGCTGCAGTCGCTCCACCATGTTCTCCACGTAGGCCTTGCTGTCCCAGTTGAGGTCGTCCTCCGAAGCCACGAAGAGGAAGCGTCCCTCGGCTCGTTCGATGGGGATCAGCGTGGCTTTGTTCTCCTCTGCCAGCGGATTTTGCATCACATATTTGCAGTTAAAGGCCCCTGAGTCTGTGGGAATCATCCTGCTCAGGTCAAACATTAACGCAGGGAGGATCTGGCTCTTATTGTAGTAGAGGGGTAACATGGTGTTGGCAGAGCAGCCATTGATCCACACCGTGACTCCAACATCTGGCAGGTTAGAGGCTATTGATAGGGCAAGATCTCCACTTTTAGAAATGGATATTACACCGACTGCTTTACTGCCAACCTGTGGACAAACAAGCAAACTGTGAGCTGCTTTCTTTTGCTTTAAGTGAAGCTAATGCAGTAGAATCTGGTTTGGCTTATAGATAGAAAATGTACCTGCGGGATTCTTGCTTTTTGAGATTGTTTCCTCATGGTTGAATGCACTTTAAGTCACTTTGGATAAAAGTGTCAGATACATTTAATGTAATGTAAGGCTTTTTAGCATTTATTATGATGCCCATAAGGTTAGCTATGTTGTAAGTAATCATACATGGGACTTTTGCCACTGAGCGAAGAATCTAACATCTTTGCAACTTCAGCACCTTCAGTGAAGATTTTCAAAAATGTGGCCTGTACTCACCTTATCTTGTTTCTTTAAAAACGCTATTGCTTCTTCAAAATAATCCAGATGGACCTCTTTGATGTTCTTCGCCATGTCATCGTGGCCGTACAGCGCTACAGTCAGAACCACAAATCCGTGGCTGGCCAGCAGAGAGGCCCTTTTCTCCGACAAACCTCCACCAAAAGTGTACAGATCCAACACAGCAGGGAACGGGCCCTCTCCTGAATAAAGACAGATTAAGAACTACAGGTCGGAAATTACAATATTTTATACAAGCTACACTTATTTAAACAAAAAAAACGGTTATTGGCACTTTCTGTGGTCCACCTTGATGTGTATTTTTGTACAGTGTAATTTGTGTCATTTCTAATTTTATCTCAAATATTTTGTGCTTGCATCTGAATTAATATGTTACTATTTCTGGCTCTTC